CGAAGGGCCTGCTCGCAAAGCGAACTTTACGGTAACGCGAGTACCTGCTAAGTGATGGTTTTGAAAACTTTCGTCCGAAGTACCGAATTGGACACATCGCAACTTTTCGAATTACAAGATAACGATAAAAGCCTATGTACTCTGATTGAAAACGGAAGAGTAAGACTGGTGTCCTGCGCACTTATAAAGGAACCATAATAGAAAGGGGGAACCAGAATAAACGGAAGCAGTGCATAAAATACCGAATGACATTTTTAAAACGGAAAACGTCAAATAAAAATGAACGAATATTTAATACTATTTCAAGGTAAAAGTAAATCGAGCTCGCTTTGAGGCTTTACCTTTTTCATATTATTTCTGGACTACAATGGACTAAGTTTATTTCACGAATTGTATTTGAAGAAGAAGTGAAAAATTTATATATTTTATTCCATCATAACGTCATAACTGCGGCATATGTACGTTATCGGTCATTAAATTCTGAAACGTAATCACAATATTATCACTATGGCAGCGCAGCGATACGTCATCAAAATGCTACATTTACGTCATCATTACGTCATCATATTAAGTAACATCTCCATTATTATTTTTCAAATCGTTCCATTACTGTCTGATTTTCACCGTTTGATAACAATAACCTAAGAGAAAAAGTATAACTATTTTATTTCCAAAGAAAACATCAGTTCTAGAAAGGGAAATTATTAAAAGGTTCCGGAGAAAATAAGTAATTCTAAAATTTAGCCACTTGAGTAAACAGAACAAACCGTATGGAAAAGTTTATATATTGCATTTACTTACGCTTTCTTTGTCTGCTTTATGGAATATTATTCATTTTGTTCTCCATAATAAGCCATTTTTAAGGTTCTTTATACAGTGTAGTCATTTTGATTTTCACTCGATAAGCAGCTAAGCAGTGTCTGCTAAAGCCACAAAGATTTGTTTCTGAAATAAAATGTTTCTTTTTTGTTATGATTTCTTGTGATAATTCTATTTTAAGTATGATACTTTATAAAAAGATATGGAGAGAGTTTGCAAAAAAGCTTAACAAGCTTCCTACTCAATCCGTAAATTTTTATTTTATGTACTTTATTATGTAAATGTGTGGATTATAAATACAATATTGTTTAAACTAAAAGACATGTTGTTGAATGGCAACCAGATTGTTATACATTGAAAGCGTAGAGCTACGATGAAAAATTTAAATTGTACTCTTTTTTATTTTATATAGAACATAGCGGGGCAACCTTAACGCATTCTAACTGTGCTGCCTACTGTGTGATAATAGTTAAAGGTCATGGGCAGAGCAGAACATTTCATATATTTGATTATCAAGAAATTCATCAAATAAAAGTATAATGTCAGTCTTAAAAGTTTTTGATAGCTATGAGAATCCGGTTTAATGTTTCCTTGAAAAGAGCAATTAACAACAATCATTACAATACATTTGAATGAAAGAAAATCCAATACGTAATCAATCAGTATGTGCCGTCTGACTATAGTTGATATTAATCGCTCCTCAGTTAGTACTTATTTTGGAAAATTTCTCCGACAAATAATACATGGTTTTGTCCACAGTGAAAAGTCCATTTTAGGTAATTAGTGTGGCAAGGTCTGAAATATATTAAATAATGTTCAGCTGCATTCCTTGAGATTAAAAAATCAAACTATATTAGAATAGATGGTTACAGGCTAACAGTGCTGGATGACAGTAGGTGTGAACAGAGAGCGTTGACAGTATCTTGCATTTACTTAGTATCGTCAATCAAATCTAGACCGCAACATTTTTGAATATTGCCTTTTTGGGCGTTCTTAAAGGATTCATTTGTTCTTTTATTTCATGCATAGATCGGGTCTTAATTTTGAATCGCAAGATTGTCTTAATAAAATATCCCTTTTTAAGTTTCGGCATTTATCTTATTGCAATACAAAACAGAATTGAGAGAAAGAGAGATGGTCAATATTCTAAATCTTACTATTTCTGTACAAACTGTTTTTGTTAAAAACTGATCGTTGAAAATATTAAATAACAGCAGAAAATGTTAAATGAGTTGACAATAGATAGAAAAAAATGTCCCCTTTATTAACATGCACAACCAAAATATATAGGACTCTCAATTTGAAAGATAAAAAAGATTAAAATGTTTGCGATCAAAGTACAATGACGTACAACATATCGATAACGTGTCAGCCAGTGATTGCTGCCCTGTATTATACTGATATAAAACAAGAGCGATCAGTGATCACATGTGTCGCCTAATGATAGCCGAAAAATAGACACAAAAATTATTAACAGGGCAAAACGTGTTTTTTTTTTGTTTTAACTCAGCCAAAAATCATTGAACCAAAACATGCCGACGATATGCTCAACGTTACTGAATATATATCATACCTTTATAATTTGGATGAAATTGCACCAGAAATTTCGGAGTAGTCCAAAAAAGCTTTGTATTCAATGACCATAACTCAACAAAAATCATTCACGCGTAAATCCTGTGTAATATGCGCAAGCTATTAATCAATCATGTTAAAATTCATTAGTAGTATACTAGGTGTTGTGCGAACAAACTTTATCAACATCTTTCTTATTCAAGGGCCATAACTCGGCCATAAATCCTTAAAATTGAAAACCAGTGTAATCTGAACAAGAACTTGAGCTACCGATTATTCTTTTAAAGTTTCATTGAAATTGCGTTAGTGGTATAAGAGGAGTCCGAAAAACTTTTAAAAAAATCATTCAAAGGCCATATCTCTGACAAAAAAACATTAAACCGAAAATGCCGAGGATATGCACAACTGGACTTGAAACTGATCATTGCTGTAAAGTTTGGATGAAATTTCACCAGTGGTTTTTGAGGAGTAATCCGGACAAGTTTTGTGACGCACGTACAGAAGACGACATAGAAGAGATCCCTATATGTAGGCACTACTTTGTAGAAGCGACACAAAAGATCCAGTCATTGCAATTAAACGTTTACCTATGTTATGTGTTAAAATTGATAAATCAGACACAATGTATTGTTCATGAAAATGTTCTCTTCTAATTTCAATCATTACACTTTACAATTGTTTTAAGAAACATGATATAAATGAACAGTGAACTGTTTACCAAGACCAACGCGGTTATAATTAACATTTCAAGTGAACATGTCTAAATAACTATACACTATAGAGAAACACTGTTTATTTAGCAAACAAATGACACGATACAAATATAATAGCATATATATATTTCCTCATATAGTATTGCTCGGGATTTATGTCACACCGACACCGTAACAGTCATATAGCGAATATACTGGTAGACCACAGGCACGAGTATCGGACCATGGATGAAAAAATATGACCAGATTGATAATAAAACCTGTGTTCATCTTAAAAGTGTCAAAAACCAAAAAAAAATTGTAAATAATGACCCCCTTTAAAATATACTTTAAGTTAAGAGAAGGCCGGAAACTCCAGATTCGAGCCTACGAGCAAGGGATTCATTTCCCTAGCCGTTGTGAAAACAATTGGCCAGACAATTAAAAAAGACTTTTATCACTATTTCACGTTTGTATTAAGCTTCCAAATGAGACCGACCCCAAGTCTCTAGCCCTTCCCGTTCATGAAATATCTATCGGGAAACGAGCGAATTCGTGCTAAAAATCCTTGGTAGACAGAATTGCGGCACAACGATTCGGTACGTAAACATAGACTAATACATGTTTGTCAGCTGAGTACGGGTCAAAATCACTTGAATTTACTAAATAATATTACTAAATACATTATGTTGGACCACTCACACCGTCAGTAGCATCTGATACACGTAACATTCGAATTTCAAACCTTTCCACGGTATTTAGATTCCTTTCAACGCCATTGTCAATCAGCTGTTCGATATTTTGTAACGAGTCTTCTGATTGGCCAATAGCAACGAAACCGCAACGTTTCACACAAGGATGCATAATGGCGTAGAAAGCGATTGAAAGACCGTGTAAATGTTTGAAACTCGAATCTCGTGTGTATCAGATGCTACTGACGGTTGTGAGTGGTCCAACTTAATGTATTTAGTAATATTATTTAGTAAATTCAAGTGATTTTGACCCGTACTCAGCTGACAAACATGTATTAGTCTATGTTTACGTACCGAATCGTTGTGCCGCAATTCTGTCTACCAAGGATTTTTAGCACGAATTCGCTCGTTTCCCGATAGATATTTCATGAACGGGAAGGGCTAGAGACTTGGGGTCGGTCTCATTTGGAAGCTTAATACAAACGTGAAATAGTGATAAAAGTTTTTTTTAATTGTCTGGCCAATTGTTTTCACAACGGCCAGGGAAATGAATCCCTTGCTCGTAGGCTCGAATCTGGAGTTTCCGGCCTTCTCTTAACTTATAGTATATTTTAAAGGGGGTCATTATTTACATTTGTTTTTGGTTTTTGACACTTTTAAGATGAACACAGGTTTTATTATCAATCTGGTCATATTTTTTCATCCAAGGTCCGATACTCGTGCCTATGTGGTAGACGATATAAGGTTATATTTCAGGCATAAGCGGGCACCTGTAGAGAACCACCAACGCTCCGTTAGGAAGCAGAATATCTTTCTTAGATGAAATAATTCAAAGTTTTTGGTGGAATTCCAACTAACAACTTTAAGTGGACATTTATTTGAATCAATGAGCTGAAACACTCGTCCACAGACGCCTCATCTATTTGCAGTAAATGTTGCCCAACTTTGTTTTATTTATACGAATTACTTACAAGCGATCAAGATGAATCATAATAACTTATAAATTAATACTTGTAAAATAAAAATGATGAAATGCATAATAAGATTTTTCTCTCTTTATGGTGTGTCAAACAATTTATTTCAGATGTGCACTATACATATTTTATTGTCGGTGATGTCGCAGTATGTTTCCGTTGTGCATTATCTTACTCAAACAATGATAAATCACATATTATATTTATTTTATCAGATAAACTTTTAACCTTACCCGCTTTATATGTTACAAATTGTTCATTTACAGTTATAACGCATATGACATTAAGTTGACAGGTACACAAAGAAATGAGTTCCAGATGATATGAAAATAAGACAGAGATGGATATTAAGCGTGAAAAAGTAACATCAAAATCACTATCATATATATTGGATAAAAATGATTTGAACAAATATGCCTCTGAATTATCAGAGAGGAACATGCACATGGAAGAGTTCACTGAAACATTTCTTTGTGGGTCATACAACATGGCTAGTGGTGGTTCTGCAGAAGGAACTAAGAAACAAGGGGGAGATTCAGACGTAATGGGAATTTGGAAAGGTGTTGAAGCCCTAGAAGTACACAAATATATACCAAAATTTGGAATTGAACTGCTTATTGAAAGAGATGGATGCAGTCCAGGTTATGTGAAACTGGTTTGCAGGAAATTTCACATGTTAGACCTTTCAGCGAATATACCAAATGGCACACTTTGTCGACAATTTGTGTCAATGTTACCTGATTTAGAGACGAAATTTGGAAATGAGACATACATATCAAGTACTCAATTCAAAAAGTGTATCCATTGGAATGAATACATATTCCCAGATAAGTTTACAGACACGGCTATAACAATTAGTGGACCATCACGTAAAAGTAAAACTTTACTTGGGGAAGTGGACTATGTTACAGCAATAGAGTGTGGCAGTTGGCCTAAATGTGCACATGAATGGCTTAACCGTTCAAGAAAATATCAATGGCCAAGTAAAGAGTTTCTACAATCTTTACCAGATAAATGCAAGTGCTATGTTGTACCTACTGGAGACGACTCTTCACCCATTGCAGACATTCAATGGAAACTATCATTCGTCTCGATTGAACGTGAACTTGTTTGGCAAATTAATGATATACAGTTGAAATGCTTTATTATTTTGAAGATTCTGATGAAAAACAACACATCTGCGTTACCAAACAATACACTGAAAACGTATCACTTAAAAAATGCAATGTTTTGGCTGGTAGAAGAAACACCAGCAGAACAATGGAGCGCACACTTGTTGCATGCACGAGTTATTGAATGTTTGGAGAAGATAATTCAGTATGTTAGAAATAAATGTTTACCTCATTATATATTGCCTGAAAATAACTTGTTTAGAAACAGATTTATGACCAGTGCTGAAACTAAAGATACAATAACTTGTTTAGAAAATATGCAAGGAAATGTTTTGAAGATTGTCAGAGACATGTTTGCTTCTTCTGAGAAGATTTTCAATGACCAAAGGGTTTTCGATTATTTCAACAACGATATACGAAATTTCATAATTTTCATAAGTTCACGATGCAGCTCTAGTCATATTATTAATTACAAAGAGAAATTTTGTCAAAAATTTGCGAAAGAAAGTAAATTGGTAGTTGAAGGTATAAATGTAGCAATTTCAAAAGCTATGTATATCGAAAGCACAAACAACAAAAGCAAAAAAAGGGGCGTATCTGAAGAAATTAAACTGTATCTTTGTACCACATTAAAGACGACTGCTCTGAGTTACCTTTATAGGGCCCTTTTTGAATTTCATAGCAGAAATTATACAACTGTTATAACACTCATTGAAGTTATTGCTTCAAAGATGAAGGAATATGGTTCACATTTGCAAGATGTGAGCTTTACTAATGCAGATAATGCCTACCTTCCAGACTTCTTAATTTTAGAACAAAATATTAAAGGCAACAGGTGTGTTACCAAAACGAATCAGCTTATCGTTTCATTACTACTTATGTTTCTTTCAAACTATCATTTAGGAAATATACAAAAATGCCATCGTGTCATAAAAGAGTTGTCGGCTACAATAAACGGCACCTGTTCAAAAGAAATAGCTATTTTATCAGTCAATCTGAACTGTTTAGGCTATTGTTATCTTTTGCTCGGAAATGAGGTATCTGCTTATGAGACGTTTCGTAGATCGTTGCTGATTTTGCCATCGGTTGTTAATGCTGCCTTGTATCACATTGCAGGTCAGGGTAACGCATTGTAACACGGCCAGCGATTGGCTGAAAAAAAGTGCAGGGAAAACCGTATGAGTCAATTTATACATGAGGTGATTGGATGAAAGTGGGGTATTTTTAAGTATAAAAACTAATTTAAAAAGTAACACTACATTGTTTTCTGAAGAAAATGAAATATTTCATGAGTCTCTGTGATAATTTTGTCTTTGATATTTGCATTTATAAAAAGTGTATGTCAGTCCTGTGATCAGCAGAAAATTTCAATGAAATGGGGGGTAATCCTCTTTGAAGTCATTTTGCAAAAAATTTGGTTGGCTACCCCTATATAACAGGAACATTTTTATGTGTCAGGCATTTCATTCTGCTAGAAAAATTACCTCTTTAGCATGAAAACTCAATTTTAAGGTAGGATTAGGGACCATTTCTTATAATGTAAGTCTATGGAAATATCAATGTGAGTGTCTGACCTAAAGAGAGGGAAATTGGAACTGTCATAATTCATTTGTTGTACTTTGTCTTCTTTGATATGCCACGAAAAGCTGATATTTTGGAAGAATGGATGTATACAGCCTGTCTAGGTATAAAATTTCATTATTTCAATGCAACTGTTGGTGTTTACAGCAGATAATGTGTCAAGGGGGTCAATCTACAAGCATTGTTTACATATGAAGAAGAGTATTATTGTTACTTAAAAGTTAATAATGGTTTGTGTTTTCTTTAAACAGTGAATTTGAGTGATAATTAATTGGTGATATGTTGATGATGAATAATGTTGACCTTGGTCATTAAAAATATTTTTCAGATTTCAAAGAAATGCTGTACATTGGATATACACATGCCAGGTTTGAAGACTTATGTATAACTTGACAGGACCTGATGTAAGCACATTGGCCACTTTTGATGGGTGTTGCAGGTATATCAATACAAATGCATATTGTCAGGTTTAAAACTAATAGATTAATACTAGAAATAGTCTAGGTTGCTGTTTCGGTTAACTTTTCGACTTATTTTAGGGGCGGACATTTCTTCGCTCGACACTAATATTTTCCCATTTTGCGCATATAATAACATAGAATGTCACAAATAAATTGCTTCTATGTCTGTTTCCCATATAAGAATGTTTTGTGTTTCATTTACAGGCATAGATAGCATAAAAGCTTCAAATAAATAGCATTTTAAGGATTCTGTCTTAAAATTTACTTGGTTTCAGGGCATGAATATCAATACATACTTAGAAATTGAAATCCATTGAAAAATGTAGCATAATTAAAGTTAGGTAGCCTCTGAATAGCCTCTTATTATGTGGTTAAGATGCAAAATAGTGATTAGAATTTATTGTTTTCTATTTGGTAATACATATTTACACACTCACAATGTATAATGCCATAGTTTTTAGACTTTATGACTATTTAATATACAATTGAATAAGCATCATAATGGCCAAGGGTAGAATTATTTTGTAGAAAAAGTTTTATTGATAAGTAAAAGTTGATCTATTTTTTCACAATCATATTAGGCACAATTATAACACAGCTTTAGTGTCTCTGATGTGTCTATAAACAGAAAAAGCACTTATTCTGGTAGATAAATGTACACAAAGGGTGTGATTATGCACAACTTCAGTGAATTACCTCCCTTTATTTATTGAGAAACTTAGATAAGTGCATAAATTCTAGTTTCTGGCTACCTAAATGAGAAAAAAATACACATTACTTTCCATTCCAAGTACATTTTGGTCTGAAGAGGTGGTTTACATGGTAAAACACCTGAAAGAAGGTTTCAATTGTCATATTTGGCTCCAAATGAATGCAAAAATGGCCAAAAAATGGGTGTAGAAGTCAGATTTTAGGCTATTACTGTGCTGTTAAGTCCAGTGGAACTTGGTTTTTCCATATATTGCATTTTTTAATATCTATGTGAGAGAGAGACAAAATATATATAAAGAATTTTGGCATTTTATTGACATTTTGGCTTGTATTTATGACTATATAAGCAAATATTTGGAGTAGAAAAATACAGCAGGGGCAGTTTTAAAATACCTAGTTACACCCAAAATGTTGCTATGTGTGTACAAATAATGTGTAATCCATAATCAGGTCACTATACAGTAGTTATTAAGTATGTTTGCTAAGCTAAATCTTCATTCAGGAAGTCTATTGGTAATAAAATGTTGAAATTTGGGTGAAAATCACTTATTTTGTTATGGGTGGGGTGATAAAATTGCTCCCTGCTACATCCTTTTGTAAGAAAATTAGTATTTTGAAGCACTTCTGTAATGAAAACAGTGTTGTTTTGCTATCTGAGTGATTTTATGGAAGTTGTTACAAAATTGACTTCAGAATAATGAATTATGTATGAAAATCACATGCTAACATTCATTTTCAGAATATCCGGAATGCGACATAATGGCGCTTGTTAGAAAAAAGGGAACTTCAAAGTTTTAAATGACTTAAGAGTGGTGAAAATGCATCCATATAATTGGTAATTGTATATGCAACTTCATTTATCATTAGATATTAGAATATTAAACATTTAATATTCCCTTTAGGTCAGGGTAACGCATTGTAACACGGCCAGCGATTGGCTGAAAAAAAGTGCAGGGAAAACCGTATGAGTCAATTTATACATGAGGTGATTGGATGAAAGTGGGGTATTTTTAAGTATAAAAACTAATTTAAAAAGTAACACTACATTGTTTTCTGAAGAAAATGAAATATTTCATGAGTCTCTGTGATAATTTTGTCTTTGATATTTGCATTTATAAAAAGTGTATGTCAGTCCTGTGATCAGCAGAAAATTTCAATGAAATGGGGGGTAATCCTCTTTGAAGTCATTTTGCAAAAAATTTGGTTGGCTACCCCTATATAACAGGAACATTTTTATGTGTCAGGCATTTCATTCTGCTAGGAAAATTACCTCTTTAGCATGAAAACTCAATTTTAAGGTAGGATAAGGGACCATTTCTTATAATGTAAGTCTATGGAAACATCAATGTGAGTGTCTGACCTGCATGTATGATTAATAAAAGACTGTCAGTTCGCCGTTAATATTTTGCTTGCTTCTTGTTACAATAAGATGTACTTATGTATCAAATGAATAGATATTTCACATAAGTGTGGTTTGGATTTTGTTGTTATTTCTGCCTATCAATATTATGTCAAATATTTGCTACTTTCATTCGCAATCAACAGCTAATTATATCAATAACAACTTAAAAGTACTCTATTTGATAGCAGTAAACAAGAGAAGAAAACAGTAAACTGTCAATCAAAACACCAATTAATTAAACTTCACTGTTAATCAATACCATTTATTTAAAACATTTTTAAAGCAAATTCATACACTATCAAAGGCACATTAGTCCTCGAAAACGTATGTTTTTTTATTTCTAAAAAAGGGCACACATGAGTTTTATAACGTTTAAATAATTGGTTTAAAAACATTTAAGAGCTTTTAAAAATAGAAATTAAAAGCATTTCTGGATCACAATGGGCATTTAAGGGAACTTAATTAATCTTTAAGAAATTAATCGTCATACAATAATCGAATGAATGTTGATCAAACAAATGTTTGTATTACATTAGATACATATATTTATAGAATGACTGCCTTGATGCTGCAAACATATCCCCAAAATGATTTATTGGAACGTGTGAAACTGAATATTTCCTATCTTTCATCATTATAGTATCTAAAAAGGTAAAGGTAAACAGCACTAAGCAACGACTGAAAAGTTTATTGCTCACTGAAACAACGACTTGTCCGTGTCAATAGTTATGTAAATTTCTTATTTCCATACAATTTGTACGTTAAAATTAGATCTACTCATAAAAAATAAAACACGAACAAAAAACCAAAAACAAGCAAACAAACAAACAAAATTGATGGAATGTTATATCTTCGGTGGTGCATTTTAAATCATCAACTCAGTATTTCTGACTTGTCAATTGGACAAGTTTTATTGTTCTGTTGCAGTTTTCGAAACTGTACTCAACGGTCATATAGTAATGAACCGTCTTTTCCTTTTTGGCGATTAGCAAAACAATACTTTTTAAAAATATGAAATATCAATCTGCATAGGTTCTGCTACTTTTCGACAAATGAGTTTATACCCAACGCTGCTTTATTTACTCGATGTATATTTAACATGCTTTTAGTTCAATATTGCATTTTCTTCAAAAGAAAAAAAATCTTAATTAATTTCTAACTACAATTGATACCATTAACACAGTCTTGAATCCAAATGTATCTTCTACTAGTACTTCCGCTAGTGAACAAAAGATAAAGAGTTTGTTTATTGCTGCTTTTAGTCACTATATTTGTCTGCATAGTTACATAAATACCCGGTTAATGTACGTAAACCTTTTGTTTTTGTTGTGACAAATTGCAATTTCCCTTTCATACTCAATATTCCATGTTTAATTATCAAATCCAAATAATACAACAGCGGATTGTGAAGATACACATCTAGGCAATGCGTGTTTCACTATTTGTTGGAACTGTATGGAGTGTATTGATGGAGTGTATTCAAACCTGAAAATGGTCTTCTCACAAAAGATGAGATTGAAAAACAACAAGGCAAAGGCAACGTTCACAGGACGTAGTCCGAGAGTCTGATTATAGAACAGGTTTTAACTCTAATTACACCTAACTTAAAATTTATTAGGCGAGGGTTTGGTAACGACTGTATCATATTCAGTAAGGATTCTGTATCATATCTAGCGAACTTACCGAGTCAATTTGTATCATATTTGTTGGGTTAAACAAAAGCGATGACAGCAAATTTAAACCATATTTTGAGAAATAATGCTCTGATTGAAATTCATTTTATACAGTTTCATTAAATTAAGGAGGAACTGAAATGTGGCAACTGCCAATTAGTAACACAATACTTTGAATAAGTAATTCATCACTACGTAAACAATCATGAAGCATGAAGGGAAATAAATATACAAACAAACAAACAAACAAACAAAAAGAAATAATAATCAAATACTTATCCAGCAAATAACTTACTAAAAGTTATTATAAAATATTTTTAAAATCATTCCAAACCAATCTGAAAACTGTTCCAAATATGATGATAATAATGATTAAAATATCAAAGCATGAACACCATTGAAGAAAATGTCAAAGTTGGCGACAGCTCATCCCAAAACATTGGAGAAAATAGTTAAATATAAATAAATACAATATAATTCTCTTGTCAAACATCGACTGTAGTGAAGAAGAACAACTTGATACTTAAGACAGGAACAACTGATTACTTTATTTATGCAGTTTTTAAACATTTCACTGAATATTCAAATTGAAACAAAATGAAATTAACATTCATGTGTTTAATTTGGCAGTTTTTTTTCTATTTCAAATTAAGACCATCCAGAATTGATATATAGCTGTACATTCATGTTGCAAAATTTATGTTTAAATAAAAAACATTCCACAAGGGTTGATGTCTCAATGGTCACTTCTTGTTAAATAAAAATTCATCAGCCCCAACAATTTATACGGATTCATCTGACAATTTTATTTCAAAGATTTAAAAAAAAGTAATCACGTATCGATAATGCAAAATGTTATATATTTTTACCATCACCAGCACAAAATCTAAACGAATAGCATAATCAAAATGCATCACATGTGCATTTGAACAGTGTAAAAAGTATGTGCACTCAACATTTGAGTTGAAATTTAATCAAATCAAAGGACTTTTATAAACAAATTAAGCTTTTTGATAGCAAAATAGCCGTAGAAATGCATATGACAAGCATATGTATGACTTCAAATTAGTGTTGTATAGTATAACATTTTTGCTTTTTTATCCGGATACTACCATGTCTTATCAAATTACATTTCACATTAACACTTTATAAATAATAATCATTCAATTCAAAGTTGTCAAGATTTTAAAATCCAGAGGCATGTCCATCTTTTCTGTAGTCTCCACAAGCTGTGATTTTATCTCCTGTTTTAAGAATACCCTGAATAATTGAAGGATTCATGTCTGCAACCTCATGGCCAATATGTTGTAAACCATTTACTACTTCCTTAAATGAACAAGGGTTATAATAAAAAGATATTCGTATTGTCTGAGAAACAATATTATATTTTGATATAAAATTATATCTTGAAAGCAATAATATAAAAATCATCTTAATAACTTGCCAGATATATTATTAGTTATAAATATTTTGACAGGTAATAATGGCTCTATATACACGTTGTTTTCATATATGTATAACACGAACCGCTCGGCAAAGTCTATGTTGCAAACAGTCGTTTATATCCGATTAAATACAGAAAACTTTCTTTATCGGAGAAGCAAAGAAATTACTTCATGAATTGGCGGCAGCCGTGTATATATATATATTTGATATTATATCATTTAATCAAAAGCATCGTTAAAACGTACATCATTATGAAAAGAATTATATTTCACCATTTGGGTGCATCATAACAATGCAATATGTTTTTCAAATCAGATTCTAATGGTGTTTTGCTGATAAATTGAAATTGCATGTAATGCTAAAAGTAATGTCTGTTGAAATTTATTACAAGATATATTAACATGCATTTTATTGTCAACCTTCTCTGTTGTTTCAATTTTGTTTGTGTGCTGTATTTTTGTCTTGTCATACATATTATATTATATTGTACATCCTCAAGGGTTATGCTGCTTTACGTTATTCGAAAAGAAATATCAACTTATGTTTAATAAAAATCAGAAGATATAGTTTCAAATTTCTTCTCAGCCAAATGATTAACGTTATAACGTACCTTTGGAAATCCTAGTTGCACATACAAAAGTGATGGGTACAGCTGATGATGGAGACGCGGATAGTGTATGGCTTCTTTTATGCCCCATTTAAACAACAACGTTTCTATAGTAATCTGAATAAAAAGTAAATTATATCAAATATTGTCACGTTTACTTGTCCCTTTCAGCCTCAGAGTCAAAGGATTACAAACCCTAATTTAGAATTATTTGGTTTGCTCCTGACTTTCCCTTATAACTTTAATCAAAGCTTAGACGCTCGCTTAAGATATAAGGGATCTGGGGGTTTGAATCCTGGTCCGAGCAACCATAAAATTTTATAGTTTGTGGGTTAATATAATGATTTGAAAATCATTTGTAAAAGCATGGCACAATATATGCAATAAAAAAGTATGCTTGCGATTAAATAATAGAAAAAAAGTTAAATGATATTCTAATGCACCGTCATACGTTAGGGCCTTAACGGGATTCCCCGCTTTCCCCCTGGTACTAAAGGGGCAGTGGCTACAACTAACAAATACATTACCAATGCCAATGATGTTGGAATACGAGTAGCACCAGAACCACCTATCACTAGCTTTACATCTCCTTTCCTATCTACAACAATACTAGGGCACATTGCTGTCAGTGGACGTCTCAGTGGTTCTGCTAAATTGGATTTTAATGGCGGACTGTTGTATCTGCTGTTAACGTTTGGTAATGAAAAGTTCCTAATTGTATCATTAAATACAATCCCAGTTCTTGTCCCGACGATCTTTGACCCAAAGCTTTAAAAAAGATTAATGATATTTCTAGAAAAAAAATGATTTACACATTTGATAAAAAAGTGTACGCATATTCAAATGCACGTTCGTTAGATCTAATATGTACAAACGTATCTTGTTATCCAAATTATATTTTATAGATTATATAAATGCTTATAGTATTTATAATTATATTGATAATACAGTCTTCAACAATTTGATTTTTCTCGGATCATTAATAATTCCTCTGACATTCTTGAAACATTTTTTAAATCTAAACAGCAATAATATACTCTAAGGTAACTGACATTTGCCTTAAACAGTTTGAAGGGACATTAAGCCTCAAAAATCCATGATATTTTTAAATAATAGATTAAGAAGCATGTTAGAAGTGTTAATATTGAAAAAAAAGGAGCGTTGGACATGCATGCATAGTAAAGGTAGCAAAATGTAAACAAAGTAAGTATTTGACTTCCATACAAAATACTTATTCACTATAATTATACCCATTGCCAACAGAGCTAAATATGCAAAAGATATATCTTGTATATATCAAATGAGTATGCTTTTGGAAACTGTTACAAGATACGTTAAATAAGCAGTTTAAAGAGGCATAATGGAAAGAAGATCATATCTTACTGGAGACTGTTTGAACACGATATAGATACCGCATCGCCATTTGGACCAATGACTGACAGATGTGAGGTTCCGTGATCTTTGTGTTGATTTCCGAGATTTAAATTATCATAATATGTAGAGTTAAATGTTTTTGTATCGAGTATTTTTGCACGTTTAGATTTAATATAGTCAGTATTTCTTGCTTTCCTCACCATCTACAAATTTAAAATAAAAATAAAATAAAATAAAAAATAAGAAAATAAAAATAATAATAATAATAAGAAAAGAAAAAATGATAAAACGAACGTAATATTTTTTCCCCTAAAATATCTTTATACCCCCCACACACACACACCGTCAGGAGAATCACTGTCATACAAAGTTGTAAATAGAATATCACAAAGTTATGACTTTGGTACTGGACATTACACAATATAGAGAATATTTGATTTTTACAGTGTTTGAAAAATTATTTTACCAGTGACAATCACTTTTTTCATATTTTATATCATGATTTTTTTTTAAAATCTGATGAACACAAAACATTTATCTTCATCATGCTGAATGTTAAAATGGACTTGTCCAGCTTTCGTGTTTTGAACTGCTATATAAATCACTTGTCAAAGATGATTTTTAAAAATCATCTCATTTTATTAAACGGTGAAAATTCAATAATACAGAAAAAATAGTACAAAATGAGTATATTTCATTAACATAACACAATTGATCTTTTAAAGTTTCATCTAACAGAAAAATCTCGATTGTAATAATGTGTGTGTGTGTGTGCGCGCGCGCGCGTGCGTGTGCGTGTGTGCAAAAATGACTTTCTTGTCATTAATAGATCTAATCAATCGGGCCTCCAACATGTTCAATTTTTCCATGATGGGCATCCTTAAAGGTTTACTTTGTTATGATATTATATTAGATCTACATCATTAAGAAATATATGAAAACAACTCTCATATCTGTTACACTAAACGTTATGTGAAACTGAAGCATCAAGAAGCTTGCACACGATATGAAAACAACATAACATTTGATTCATGAATTTCCTAATTCATTTTCTTATTTAATTTCCACACAACGTGGAAAAATGTTTTCATTCCTTGAATAAACAAATAAATCAAACGATACCTCATCAATTGAATCTTTGACTTCATCTGTGCAAATATCGTTATCTCCTAAATATTGCTTTACGGCTCCTGTATGTTTGAACGCCTCAGTAATTCTATGCCATGTTTCTATTGACTTTTCCACTGTCGATACACTTGATTGATCGAATTTAAAATCTAAAAGAATAACATTCTTATCATCAGAACATTTACGATTTAAATCATTTGAATATTTGAAGATTTATGTCTAAACTCCCTTAACAAAACACACAATGCAATGTATGCGTTTAATTATATGTGGCGGCTGGAAATATCGCCCAGTACTCACTTCTTTGCTTTGTCCTGGTCACGTCGACGGACGCTGAGTATGATAACTGGGATTCATTACCAGTGCTACTATTTTCTATGAATTTCCAATTTTTTCATCCTTTTTTAAATCTACATGATCTATAATGATTTTTTTGTTGTTTTTTTCAGAATATATGCTACCGATTTAATGTTCTGACGTCTTGATGAGAAAAATGTCAGAGTATTGTCTACATACCTTTCAGTAAGTCCAGAATGTACTGATATAGAATACCACTGGTTGGAAGTGGTGGAGAATAGACGGTGAAATCATCAGTGAGTTTAAGAGATAATGGCGGTTTAATGAGAGCAGTGTAGTTGGCAAAATCTTCTTTAGTCAGGATTCCATCTGAAATCATTATTCGTAATATATATTTCTTTCTTTCTTTATTTATTTATTTTATTATTTATTTTGATATTTCATTTGCAGTCATTATCCAAATTTTAAAAATTATATCACATAGACATTTTCTATGCTTCAATAAGTAAACATGCTACATTTTTTAAAGGGGGCATAAGCAACTATAAAATGAAATCTGTCAGAACATTTTGCACCGTAACAGTGAACACACCTTTTACACTGTTACAGAACTTAAAGTAACGAGTACGATTATAAAATCGAATGAGGTGTTATGCGCTATCAAAGATACGATAACCTTAAGGAAGAAAACGCTCACTTTCAGGAGCAGATAACTCAAAAAAGTAGAATGGTGACATTCACTTTATGTATACATATTTATTTCAACATGATTTTTTATCGTGCAAAATTTAAGAAAGTCCTCAGCGCTAGTTTGAATTTTCCTTCATTGTAACGTGACGTGACGTGACGTGACAGCAGCAAAAGAGAATCCCAAACAAAAACAGGACATGTATAAAACGAATGTGGATTAAGGTATAACATGAATTTACAAATCAGATAAAGTAGAATAGTTACTTGCATCTGTGATATCTGCTATCATATCGTCTGTTAAACTTCCTCTGTAGAAACAATCAGGTCCTTCGTCTGCTATCTTTTCCAGCGTTTTAGCGAGCACTGGTCTATACATAATGTCGCCTTCCTTGTATATTTCTCCGGTTTCCGGATTTGTAAGAAATTCTCTGTAATGATTTCTCTCACAAAAGTAACTAATGCATACTTTTATTTCAAATGTCATAATTGTTTGATACCTGATTAGCTAGAACGATTAAGCAAGCACTTCTTTTTGTTCTTGGAAGTGAATAGATGTTAAAGTTCGTACATGTTTGGCTGGCACAGTAATTTACTTTGTCTTTGCTAAAATTAAATGTTTAAGCATAAGATTGGCATAATGTTCGTGCGTGTGAAAGTCAAAAGTACTATTATTGAAGAGATGTCTTTAAATAGGTTAACTTCGGTAAGATTGCAACGTTTAACCTGTAAATATTGATAAATTAGTGTTTCTTTTCTCAATAATAAAAAAATTATAACAATAAAAAATATATCAATAATAACATTTTTTTGTTTACTACATCACATCTTAAAGGAGCTCCATTGAGGTCTCAGAGCATAAAATACACAAAATTTGATTTGTTCTTACTAAGAACATCTGGGGGCACTTAAAACAGAAGGATATGCTTAACATTATTTTCCCGATTCGGGTGAAAAGGAGGCAGTACACAGTTTCGGCTGTTTAGTTTCGAATTGGCCAAGGTGGAATTTACAAATAAGAGACAGTTTTGAAATTGAAGTGGATATTTGAGGTTCTAAATGTTTATAGTTACTATATTTCAAGTTTCAATGACTAGTTTTGTGTTTCAGTTATTTAGTAAAATTGAATTTAGTGGCGTTGACCCTTGTTTTTATGAGAGAGTACCTGTCGGATGCGAACGTGTGGTTTCTGGAGCTAGCCGGTGAATCAGCTCTTCAATTTAAAGGGTATGCAGAAGACTTAGAATTGTGAAAAAAGTAGGTGGATGGCACCCCGTTTGGATGTTATTTTCAGATTGTGCATTGTTTAAGAAGGAAGAAACACTATAGCTTGTGGTTTAAGTTTTTGACGTTAATATATCGTTGTATTTTGCGAATAGGGATAATCCGCTTATTTTGTCGCTGATTTTCGCGACCAAAACAATGAAAAACACAGAGCTGTGTGCCAGAAAACTAGAAGGTGGACATGTATTTTTAATTGTTTGCTGTGAGATACATATATATATGTTAAATATGAAATGCATTTATTTCAGGTGTGTGATTACAGACTTGTGTGTGAGGTTTTGATTGTGGCGCAGTCAGTTGTTTGCCGAGAAGCCTTGAAAACTGTGTATTGCCCCTAAAGCGTTGCACGATGTGCACGTTTTGGGCCATTCTTCACAAGCAGAGTAACTGTTTTGCAAAAACGGTATGAGCGATTGATCTGAAGTTTTCGGATATGTTATCAATCAAATGGAATATTAATCTCGAAATATTATTTCCAGTCCCCTCTTGTCAAAAAACCTCAGCGGAGTCCATTTTGTTTTAGAGCATTTTATATAATATTGATAAAATAAAAGATATCTTACAAGAAACCTGGAACTCTCTCCTTCAACTGGAGGTTTTTATTTTTCACATCCTCATCTATAGCTTTTGCAAGAGCTGCTCTGACTTTGACCCCGTTTTTACACATCTTGATTGCTGGTTGGAAAAGCTGTTTCCATGGCAACCTACCAGCTAATTTCCAACCCTCATACAAGCTACAAATTTCTCCAGGAATGCATATTGAAAGCCCACCTTTGAATTGTAGATTATATAAAACAACTAAAATAACTAGGTTGGGTGATCCCTCGGAAGCAATATAAACAACAGAAATACACAGATCATGAAAAAGACAACACATTTCAAGCCGCCGAAGCACTTAAATACTAGTGTTGTCCAATTCGTTAAGACTAAATTTGGTGCAAGCAAAGAACTCAAAGGACCAGATAAATATAACAAAACTTAAACTCGTACATATATACAATGTATTATTTAGAGGCACAAAAGGAGCACAACTTTATATAATATTATTTTCTTTCTGTTCAAGCACATTGGTATCAAGAATTATTTTAACTTGCCTAACACATTATGTTTAAGGAAAATGCCTGAGTTATATCTTCTGTTATATCGTATGGCATTTATTAATTAACGCTAACGTAGTAATAAACAAACAAATTAATTTCCAGATTTCTCGTAGAACATTATGCAATAATTTATGATATGCAATAATATTTTACATTTGCTGACGTCATATTGATAAAGTCATGGCGTAACGTTACATACCGATACGTTTAGATAACGGGTCAGATATCAAAGTCTCCGTTGTCAGTTTAGAGGGCGCTTGTTCTCTTCCAATAATTGAATACATTTTCTCTTCTGATCTAAAATACATGTACATCATATGAAAAAATAAGCACATACGGTAAGGTCAGATGAGTTGTGATTTGATATGATGTGATGTGGTATGATATGATGCGATATGATGAGATGTAATGTGCTGTGATATGATATGACGTGATATAAATTTATAGTGCTATGATGCGGTGTAATGTGGTATGATGTGATGTTTTATGAAATAATTTGACATGATGTTGTGGTATGGTATGATGGGATGTGATATAAAATGATGTGGTGTGATATGAAGTGGTGGCATATATGGTGTGATAAGAAGTGCTATTATGTGGTATGATGTTATATATGATATGATGTGATATAATGTGAAGTGATATTAAGTGATGTGACATAATATGATATAATGTGATTCGATATGATGTGACATAATACATGATGTGATAAGGAACCTATTGTGATATGTAACATGATGTGATATGTTTTATACTGTTATGTGATATGTTTTATAATGTGTTGTATATGGTGTAATAGACTTTAATTTGATTTGGTGAAGTGTGCCTTCATTGATATTTCTTCGTACACCATAGCTATTTGCTTTGTATTTTTAAATTTGATCCATAACATGCAAAAGTAACATAAAAATCATTTCAAATGATGACCGACATTTCTTTAACTAAACCTTGAAAAAAATCAGCAAATAATGAAAGATTTGCATATTAAGCCTGATATAATTTGTTGTATTATATCATTTTCGATTAGTTAAAATTCGTTTTTTTCATGCAGATTATAATTATATGCCAGAGCAGCCTACCTTTTGTATAAGGTTATTATAGCTCCTCCCCCTATACTGCAGCTATGGGCATTAACCACGCTCGAACATAACGCAGCTGCAATAGCTGCATCCATGGCACTGCCCCCATGATCTCTCATAATAGACCTTTAGAATATCATAAATGAAAATAGTATCTTGCATTTATACATCTGCTATAGATACATTGAAATTTAATATCGATCTTAAAGACAAACAAACAGAACAGAATTCACTTTATGTTTGCTCTGGTACACATTTTTAATAGAAGAATTAAATAGAAGTATTTTCTAGATACAGTGGCTTCCGATATTTAACCATCTTGCTTCATACCAGAAGCGGAAGTGTAAATACTGTTTTGTTACGTCACTCAGCTTCACAAACGACTGCTGTGTTGAACAAGATTTTATAAAAATAGAAACATTTTATTCATTAATGGTAGCAAGAAACTTAATTATTATCCATGCAACTTAGAAGTAAGTGACATATAGCTCCATATCATATCATATCGCATCGTGTCACATCGTATCGCATTACATCTTGTTGAAATGTATAACATTGCATCGTGTTGTATCGTATTGTATGGTATGATCATACCATCATTATATGGTCATGTTTTAACACATCATATCCCGCAGTATCATTTAAATCATATTGAAATACTAATATGAAATGTACAAACGTTCCAATTAGTAACAGAATAAAATGAAATGTACAAACGTTCCAATTTCCGAACATTCCCGCGAATCTGCTGCAACAGCCGCTTGTTTGAAGTAGTGTTCAACATTGTTTGACGTGGCATCTCCCGGGGGAAGCTGTGACATAGCAGCACTCAATGTCTAAACAATACATGCATTTGAAATCTGAAATGAATAAATGATAAAAAAAAAACACATTTTCATTATATAATTTGGTCTCAAAATATAAGTGTGTGTATCGTTTATGTATGTATGTACTATAATTAGTTCATGACTTAGTGAAATTTGGAAATATGGTATGGCACTCTGTAATATACATATACTTACGGTACCTTTGGGTAGACAGTGAAGATAACTATTATTTTATTTCATATTTTGGTGCTATGTTTTTTTGTTTTGTTTTGTTTTTGTTATCAAATGAAAAGAGGTATTATTACTTTGACTGCATTGAATGTAGAAATGTTAGAACTGAAGATCTGATTGAGCCTATCTTTGATATTTAACTTTTTCTTTTTATTACAGTATAAAGTTAATGTTTCGTGAACCCAGTAAAACAGTATTTTTGACGATTTATACACGTACTCATAACACTAACATACAAACCAATATACATATTGTTTATAAATTTTTCACGTTTGGCCAATTCGTTAAATTTTGTTCATTATAATAACTAATCCATTTCCATATGCATAATTCTTCATAAATGAGAATTATAGCGCGCATTGTTTACACATGTCTGTTTATAATTTTTTTAAGTGTACAGTATATACCAATTTCACACGAGTAAAAGAAGTAAAATGACTGATTTTGTTAGTGTTAAATATACTTATACCCATTTCCGCTATACACATCAGTCTTTGCAATATTTTTTATGTACATAAGTGTTTATGCATATTTATTAAAATATATCATAATCACCATCATCATTTTATAATTATATCTCATAAGCAAACGTGACAACAGAAATACGCTTTTAACTTTTAAATGTCTTTGGTCTATCAAAACATTGACAAAATACCGTAACATTTTCGTTTAGATAAGGTGAAAGTTCGATAAACGAACTTTGATTTATAATGTATCGAGAATAGATGTTATCCGAAGACATTGAAAACGGCATCTATGTATTTTCTATACAACAAGTGTGAATACATTTCTACAAGCGGTTAATGTATTCAGTCTAAACATGTTTTGAAGAATCAATAACTGTGATAAAAACCATTCACTTGAAACATATAATGTTGTCGATAGTTTTACTCGCTTGAACAAATTAGTAATGACTTTAAACACATAAACCATATATCTATTCACGAAATCCAGTTTTATGGTACATAAAAACGTTATTAAATCCTTAAATTCCATGTATTATAATTATCAAATAAATCTAATCTAATGTCGAATAAAGTAATACATAATTATACTTGTTTACATGTTTATTTTAATACAGGCAATGCGAGGGTTTTATGATATTTTTACAATAACCACGCAGTCAATGTGAGAAAACTATCCAGCTAGCTTACGGACCGTCGGGTGCCCATTTTTGGCAAAAATAACGCATAGAAGGGTACATAAGGTCTTCCACCACCAGTAAATCTGGAGAGTCGCCATATGTCCTATACTGCGTTTGTGCGACGTAAAACTAAAAAAAATCATAGTCAATTAAACTGATAATTGTAATGTAACCTTACCTTAAATTATTTAAAGTATGTTGTTACCATATAACTGTATAATTCCAAAAAGAACATACATGTATTAATTTAAGTTGTTTTGGTAATAAACACTACACTCATACTCGTACCACTCACTGAAGGATATACCAGTTAATGAATATACTTTCAGTTGCTTGATGCATTTACCAGACTTCAAAACACATTGTAACTAATAAACCAGTGAGCTTTAATACTTTTTTCGTCGTTCATGCGCAACAGAAGTCAATGGTGTGTAGCGTTCGTCTCTTTTACGTTCAACGTTAAAGCTCATATGGTCTGAATTAATTTCCTTTCAACAACTAATTATGTTTTATTTCTAATACACATTATAGTATATACAGCTATAACTAACGAACTATTTTTTATAGTGTATATATACTTACATCATGTTGTTTTTATATCATTATGGCGGATTCTTAATAGTTTTATAACATGCATGTTTCTGATATTTTATGCACACGAATATTGCACGTTCACAGTAGTAAATGTTCTAGGACAATGTAAGATATTATGCTGCTTTTTTAAGAAAGGCGACGACTAAATAACATACAAGTCAATATGTCTGTCCTGTATGTATTTTTGATATTTTCTCTCAAAATTCGAAAATAAATATGTAAATAAAAAACAACAAAAAATAACATGTAGCAGATATATGGCTTTATACACTTTAAAAATTGTACATATATTCCTTATTTTAGAATGCAATTTAAAATACAAAAATTACATTTGATATGTTCTTCATCAATATTTATTTTTCATTTTTATATATGGACTAAAAACTTTATTTACAGATATATAAAATCATTTATCTCATTTTATCTTTTTGCAATTAGAATACCTATTTCGGTAAATGTCATGTACGTGTTACTAGCCAATCAAAGTGCAAGTTCATTTGCTGGCGTTGATACCATAGCCATCTATTAACTGTTTTTTAAACTTAATATTTATTTACACGCGATATGTTTACTTATACATAATGTTTCTGCAAAAAAAAAGAGGAAGGAAAAAGGAAAAAACACGAAAAGAAATACCAGTTAACCATAAATAAAGATGGGAAAAACAAGTGTTGGTGATTAGAAAACAATTGTGTAGTTGCTACCGTTGGATCGAATGAATTTCTTTCGAAAACCTTTAAAAACTGGAGTTCGTTTCTATTTCCAACTCTTTTCCCACGTAAATTTATGCCAGCCTCACTACTAATCTGTTACAGTTACACAAAAGGTCAATTGCATATTCTCTTTGTACTTAAAATTAATCAATCAAATAATTTGATAAGAACTAACTGACGCTGTTGAATAATCAGGAATGCAGTGAGTGAATGATAAAAAGTGAAGCCAAAGGTAAAACGGATGTATATTGATTAAAATTCAATTTGCTAATTGCAAATAACCTTTATTTTATATTAATGTTTGCGTGTTAATTAAGCAGCATATATTTTTAATACGTTTGGCGGCTGTTAAAATCCTCAAGAGATGTTATATAACTTAGTCTTTGAGATCGTTCAACATGACATTCTTGTTGTTTGTTGTATGTATAGCTACATCAGTTTATAATAATCTTTTTTTATCAGCTACAGGGTTCAAGTATTCTTTCTTGGATGTTGTTCCACTAGCCTTTGGATTTATTGTCTTTTTTGTTGTTTTTTTGTTTGTTCGTTTTTGTTTTGTTTGGTTTTGTATTGTTTTTTGACAGCTGTCTGCTATACATAGACTTTAAATCTCAGTCTGATCTTCCCAAAACTCATCTTCATTTAATTTTACCCATGTTTCACATTAAATGCACACAGATGTTTTACTCTTTGACCATATCCCGCTTTTAAATGCAATGGCACGTACGTATTGCAATGGACGTTCAATGATCGTCTGAATGAGGTATAAATACATCTGCAAATGTTTCTTATCATAAATGAACGCCCTTTTCATGTTTCATGTTCCTGCTTAAGTCGACGCTAGAGGGCGTAGACTATGGCTTACATTTGTCACTATCTTCCATGAACTCACTTAATCCGAGCCTGCTACACTTTCAATTGCGTGGGGCGTTCTTTTGTGTTTCAATTTTATTTATTTCTTTAATGGTTTAAATAATGAAAGCCAACGTTACTTTATCATTGTCTATATGTACATATGCTCAAAAATGAAAGTTTAAGGCGTACCTATTTGTCAGTTTAAAGGAAATAAAGTTTCAAGTTCATTTAACATAATCAATACACTTATCATTTATCTAATCTTGAATAACCGAATTGTATTCCTAATAATTCTTGCTTGCGTGCTAAGGAATCATGGGATCGTTACATGACTTTTATAACTGCATTTCAATATTCAAATTATTTCATAACTCTGCCAAAGATGCAAATTTAAAATTTAAATCATTTAGCAAAAAAATGAATGAAATTACAAAAGAAAAAAACAATCATTGTAAACATGAATTTTATATTTACTGTAAATCAGATATATTTGCGATGATACAAAATTTCGCGTAATCAACATTGATTAATTAATTTGCAAGGTTATTTTTTTATATGGTCGCTAAGTTCCACTTTTAGCTCTGTTAAATCATTATGATAATTACACATTTTAGCGGACATTTATTTTAGTATACATATGCACATTGTACATTAGGCGCAATTAAACCGCCTCTCACTTTTTCTTATTTTAAAGAATAACAAGCAAAATGCTTTGTAATATCACTCGCAATGTCAGTTAAAACAAGAGCACTGCACGCGGTGTTACCGTTTGTAGGGTATTCTGTCAACGCCTGTCAATAACAAATTTTGACAAATATATATATTATGTTAAAAAGGGACATACATATTAGAAATATTGCTTTCGGCATTATGACCCATTTCTTAAAACTGCAGTTAGTATATCTGTTAAAATGTTTGAATAATGAAATAATGGGCTACTTCAAAGTTTTTGCACGACGGCAACAACTGCTCGTGCGATTATATAAAAACGTTGTACTCACTTAATTACAAACGTCACTAAGTAATTGTAAATCAGGAAGTGCTCCATTTAGGCTTTTGTTCAAACTATAAAATTAATGACCATTTTAAGCATGTGCGGACTCAGAGGAGAAATTGTTTAGGGAACAATGACTATTGGATAAGGTTAGTATCTGGAACTCCTCTAAATCTGTGATTTTGATATCAACTTTTATTTAGCGTAAATCACACAAAACCGAGTGAAAAATAATTGAATTATGACCCCTCTACAGCTGGTTTAATAATAAAGGGTCACCCCCTCTAAAACTGTATTACCCTTTATTGGTATTTTGCGATCCCTTCTTGTAAAAATCATTGATCTGCACCTGCTTAGGACATTTTGTTCTAAAACATAAAAATGCTGTCCATGTCCGGGATAGTTTATTGCAAAAAAGATATGACATAACTTGCAAGTCATTATCCCAGAATTTAATCAAGTTCAGACTAAATTGATCACGTTTATTAATTAAACAGAGAAATTATCAACACTTATCAGTTAATGGTATTTCCTCTGATTGAAAATGAAATCAGTCATGTGGGAACCAAGATTCTCAAATAAAAAAAATTAAAAAATAGAAATTAATAAAAACTTTTTCGTAACCAGAACGAAGTAGAAATATGTTAAGCTATTAAACAGTGTTTTGTCAGCAAAATTGTTCACAGTATTAAACAAGGCACACATTTCTAGTTGTGGACCAAAAGAACCGATGGATGGGAAAGATATCTTATACACGTGTTTAAACGTGAAGCAATCAAAAGGTGGATTGAGTAAAATGAATGCGGTGTTGGTAGTTTGCACTCCGGATAACGGCAGTAAGCCACATTGACTTTACGAGAGCACAGTTCAGCCACCGTATTGTTCCTGTTCATGTTGTCAAGCAGTTTACCTTCACTTTCGCAAGGAACTGATAACTTCTGTACATGCCAGAACAAAGGTACAGTGCGAATGGCTGTAGAAAGGACTTCATGATCAATCACAACGAAAGTGACATGCACCGTCCATAATTGAACCCGCGTAGCCAGATTCACAGTCCAACGCTCTACCTATGGAGCTAACCGGACGCATCCAAGAAAATGAATGCATCAGAAAGTATAATACTTAAAGGCTATACGGCACGATTATTCGCATCAACCAGTTTACATATAATAAGCTTAGAAAGCATCAATAGTTTTCCATGTTATTGAATCATCTAGTGTGTGCACATAGCTGATACATCATTAGACGTTAGTTAACTCGCTGGTTATTTGTATTGTGTAAATTACCTTCCTCATTATATTTCCCCTGTGAATCTTCCGGTGTGTTTGCATCGTCGATAATTCGGAAGATGTCATTAAACTCACTGATTTCGTCATTTGAGCAGATTTTTGTCATCATTATTTTTCTATATGATTGAATCTTCCAGTGGTTGCACATAATCGATAATTCAGAGGAAGTCTTTCAACTCTTTAAAAAAATTTCTGTCATGGTTAATTTGTCTCTGTGACTTAATAATTTTAGTGTATGCTCATGGATACTGTAATTTCAGAAAATCACCGCGTTTGCTTTAGGTGTCATATGTTTCATTCTATAGTTTTCTACTATAAACTGTAACATAGTGACCACAATAATTTTGTTTGTCACAGATTTGAACCACAATTTATTTTATTTTTTTGCATAATATGCTTTAAATACTTTAAATTATTGTTATAACTGAATAATTTAATACATTAGTAATAAAAATCCTTTATGATATGTACAATCTTAACATATTTTAATATGTGAAGAAATATATAATTCAAATATCTGTAAAAGAAAACATGAAATTAGATATTTGTTACAGAACAAAATGAAAGAAACTCAAAATAAATAATTACTTCTGAAAGTTATCAAAGTACATTCATTAATACTTTAATTTTAATGCACATTGTGCCTAATTATATACTTCCAGACACGACGATATCTAGACGCATTTACTTCATAAACACAACTGTTTGTATCAGACGGTGTCTGGAAAAACAATGAAATGTTTCTTTTTTGCATTAACATTTACATATATCTGATACAATCGTTGAAGCCTATGAGTTGCAGTTGTTTAATTCTATACAATCAAATATATACATTTAAATTAGGTGCCAATAGTTGGCTAACGCAAGGAACTATTAAAACGGACATAAATGCTTCAGACAAACCTCGCAATATAAAATGTGATAAAACTCACATTAACTTGTATCCTTCAATTTAAATTCATGTAAATGTGATATTTAAAACAATGAATTTCAACGAATAGTCATAAAAATCACATTGTATCATTGTTCGCTGATACTCATGGCGACCATATTCTTCCGGTTTGTTTTGAAATAGATTGACGTATCGCATGATATGTTCAATTGAATTGTAAATGTATTCAGATACTGAAACTATCTTGATAATGATTTGCTTGCATGAATGTCTGTAGAAATAATTTTCTTCTCATTGTTTTGGCTACCTCATCATATTGGTATGATTTCATGAATTTTAGTAAAATTTCAATGATATATCTGGTCCTTTGGGATCATTGGTTCCAGCACGTTAGATTTGAAGATTAAATAATGCTTTAGCAGGTGCTAGGGGGGGGGGGGCTGAGATGTTTCTCATTATATAATCTTCATGAACAGACTCATCATCATTGCGTTGCTTATGTTAAATTATTTGGTGATAAAGTCTAATGCATTACATTTTTAAGGACCATTTAGTTACAAACTTGCCATTATTTTTCTCTCAAAACACATACAATTTTTTTGCTTTGTCGAAATAAGTACAGTTACATAATTAAGTATTTTGTATGTAAACAAAAACACATTCTCTTTACATTTCGTTACTTTTATAACAACAAAATTCACATGCAGGTATACCTTCTTCCGATGATAGGCATGGTAATAATTCGCTCCAAATCAGTTGGTCTCAAACATTCAAAAACAGGTTTGCCATTTCTTAGGAAGAAATTTTTTTTAATTATTTTTATCCGAGACTCACTGTGCCGATAAAAAACTTTAAACTCCTAATTGACGCATATATTGACGTCATTTTTTGTTCAAAATCATTACAGAATTTTTTTTTGCTAAAATCTTCTTATACCTCATTTAAGATGATAAAGGGACTTAATATTCAAGTCCATATATCATTAACAGAACATGCGTTATTTTGAATAATTTTCTAAATGTAATTTCAAAAAGAAAAAAACAAGTTTCGTTTCAGATTAATTTCGTTCAGCCTGACATAATTAATTCGAAATTCCCCACAGAATTAAATTATGGCTCCACTTAATTGGTAACATCAACTAATTAAACAGGGCACTTATCAATTAAAAATTCTGTCACGAGGGTTTTATCATGTTCACTTGAAAATTGATTGAAATTAGTCTATTTTTAAATGTGACCTGGCATAGTAATGAAAATCAATAGTTTATGAATCAGTTTTAGTCTTAAATGATTTGAAAGTATTTAAGTGTTACTGAAAAAATGTTATGTGTAGTTAAGAAAGATGACTGGCAAACTTGATATGTAAAGTTGTATACATATTCACATGTATACATATACTGCTTACAGTAGTTTTGTGGCTTTCAATTCTTTATATCTGTCATGTCTATATTGCTTGAATAAGCGTGACGGCCAAATTCCACTTCACATGACTATTGTAATTATTATTACTTCAAAGTAATCAATGACAGATGAGATCTCGAATATTCGAATATATATGTTTCACAAATATCCATTTTTAGATTATGCTGAAATACATTTAGTTAAATATACAGACTTTATTTTATTTTGACTTAAAATGAAGCTATAAGCTTATAGACACAATATACAGTTTGTTCCTGGAACCAACTTGTACTATGCAAAGGCTTTAAGATTTCTTAATCAAGACCGGCAGATATTTGATTACCAGTTCGAGGCGTTAGCCCCTAAACCACGCTGTCACTTATAATAACATATAACATACATGTGTCTATATAAAGCTATAGTTTTACCGAAACTGTTAATATTTTTGCTACAAAAGTATTTGTGTAGACATGTATACACAAAAAACAAAGAAACTATTGTCTTTGATTTTATTCAGCTTGATAATAACATGGAAAACATAGCATCGGTACCCATGTACATTAATTTCATCTTAACAAATACACTGAATTAGTGTCAGAAGTTATTTCAAAATAAGGCTTTATAGACTATACAGGCATGCTATAGCATATAAATGAGGAATATATATTGAATTATAAGGAACTCTAAGCATCTGAAAGCATCATTATTTTTCCTAGGATTGAATCTTCCAGTGTGTGCACATCACCGATAATTCAGTAGATGTCATTTAACTCACTGATATCGTCATTTGAGCAAATTACCGTGTTTCTCTCAAGTTTCCAATATAACAAGAATGATCTGGAGGACACCGCTGCGTATGCTTAAATCATATTGGGTGTGGATGATACATAAATGTGAATTTAGTTTTTCATGGAATTAATGGTATTTTATTTTTTTGTGCGATGAATAAACACGTATTCTTATTCTAGGAATGTAAGTTCTGTTTTGTTGTGTATTGCTTAATTTGTCTGTTGTATCGAATGCAAAACTAAGTTTAGTTAAAGATGGACTGTTTATTGTAATTTTCTTTCTTAGTTCTGTATTGCAATTTTTTGTCAGAACCTTTTTTAGTTTTATAAAAGGAAGCCAGACTTATAATTTGTTATGACATTTTTGTTAAAAAATAATTAGAATCCACATTTACATAATTATACAAAATGTTTTTTTTACAAAAATTTACTTCTAATTTATGTGTCATTCATATTTTACATTAAAATCATTTTAATGCGCTTTTTAACCCGACAGACATTTGAACACATATATTAAGATAAACTAAAATAAATACATAAGTTATTTGAAATACTACATTTGCGTATAAATGTCGACCAATTTCGTTATTTTGTTTTTTATTGTAAGAAAAAAGGTCGAAAACTATCTATTGTTAAAGTGTATGTAAGATAAAGATTTCCGAATGCAAACATTTTCTCTGGGGAAGGAATGTTATACAATGACATGTTATAATGATGTATAATTTACTGAATCAATTAAATTACATATTTTTTGCTATAAATAAATAAATAAAAAACAACTATGTTTTTCTAAAACTTTTGTATATCAAGATAAATAATAAAAATAATAAAAACAACAACATTTTTTTAAAATCTTAAATATTTTTTAAAATAGTATTTTAAAAGTAATCAAACGTATTGACAGATAATAGACCTTATAGTATTTTAAAGTATAGAGTAAAATAGATGAAATCATGACCAGAGATATTTAAACTTTTATGTATTCAAACAGCTTCATATTAAAATTAGTAATCCCTTACTAATTAGACTCATTTACATATGCCAAATTTAGCATCTGATTTTAAATAAAAATGTTACCATAAATGTATGCAACTGTATATGTAACTGTAAAACAAAACTTGTAATATATGAATAACAATTTAAATTCAATAATAAATGCTAATATAATCTATTTTATGCTTACAATTATGCTTTACTATACATGAACACAATAAAACCCTTGAAGTGAGTAATAAACAGCTTTCTGTGACATATTATCGTCTGCTTAAGGGACAAACACGTGGCCAAATATGTTTGTATATTTTCTTTAGAGACAGCAAAACAGACACGAAATCGTGGTTTAACATTTAAATCCCTAATTAAAATAGTAGCATTTGTTCCGTACCGGAACATATTATTTTTAGTTTATTTTATTCTTTTCTAACTCATTTGTGATAAATAATAGAAACATTAAATACAAAAATTGTTTTGAGATTCGACCATAAGGTTTTGAAACAACAAAATTTTAATTTTCATATTAAAAAAAAAGTTAATTAATAAAAAGATTTGTAAAATATTTTATTTGATACAGTTTCATACTTTTACAGCATGTAAAAGGTAAAACAGGATAATCAAAGTTTGTCAAGTGCATGATTTTTGTGAAAATGTTTATGTACATTTGAAAATGGTTTTATGGTCAGTAAATATAAAAACAGGTTTCAATTACGTAAAGAGCATGTTCTCCTGTTAAAAGTAAATATTTTCAGTTGACTATAAAAGGTTTTAAAGATCGAATTTCAACAAGGCTTTTACATTTACAAAAATGTCATGGTGCTTCCATAAAAACGGTGAAAATGTCAACAAACTCTTGCTGTCGACTGAATTAATTGATTTGATAAATCTTATACAGATTTTATAAGACTAAGTAAAGTGTTACAGTTTTCCCTACCATTTTTCAAAAACAAACAAACAGACAAACAAACACAAACAAACAAACAAACAAACAAACAAACAAACACCTTTTAAGTAATTAGTTTGACATTGAAAAATGTTTAAGCAAGGAAATATTTAGTAATGCGTTTATTCGTATGAAGTTGATGGTGCTTAGGCGATAACATGGATGTAACTCTGGTATAAAACAGGCTCCCATTTCCTAACATGTCCAAATATAAATACAAAATATGATAAACAAGATCAACAAGGAAAGGCGGCGTTCATTGAATGCCGATATTTCATAAAAAAACATAAATGAGCCGCGTCACGACAAAACAAACATAATGCGTTTGCCACCAGCATGGATCAAGACCAGCCTGCCCATCCGCGCAGTCTGATCAGGATCCATGCTGATCGCTTACAAACCATATTACAAGTAGAGAAACTGATAGCGAACAGCATGGATCCTGATTAGACTGCGCGGATGCGAAGGCTGGTCTGGATCCATGCTGGTCGCAAACGCACTATGTTGGTTTTGTCGTGACGCGGCTCAAATAAAATCATTCCTTGGCATATCCGATTGTTATTCAATCATGGTATGACCATTGCTAAGACCCGTGTGAATTATAATTTACCATTATAAATCTTAAATGAAAATATAAGACAAATAGTAGTTTATGATCACACCTAATTTTCCCGTTTCTGAATTTAAACGTAGGTGTTTCTTCTTCTCCTGAATGTATCATGCACCTCCTGATTTTCTTGAACAATTTCTTAGCAAGGATCTTGTACATGTAGAGCTAGTCTAACGGGGGGTTTACAGAGGCATCGATACAATGAAACATGGACAAAAAAGACTACACAGATTTCTGTAAAAATGAGATCCTTGCAAGTCATTTCTCAGTAAAAATATTGAACCAACGGACCCGGCATTTTCAATCGTTGCTACATTTCACAGCATTTCATATAATTATGCAATTTATAATATTGGACTCGACAAGATTTAATTTTGAACCTGATCACTAACAACGCATTTTACGTAAAAGCTCGATTTAATTCGATCCGACATAATCAATTATTAATTCCCTCGGAATCATTTCAAACAAAGGCTTAATTGATTGCATCAATTAATAGAACCGAACTATATCAAGTTATGCTCCCTCACTGGAGTGCTATCATGTTTAATTGAATAAGCTTATTTGAAAGTTGATTGTAATTACTCCAGTCTGGCATATTACATCAGCCGGTAATAAATAGAAAATCAATTGCCGGTCAAACCTATGGAAAACATTCGATGATTAAAATTGTTAACGTAAAATTGCACCAGGCATTGTTTTTGATGACAATACTGATGTTAAATTATGAAAAATGGAAACCCTAAAGAACGCATTATCTTTTTAAACCAGACCATACACAATGAGAATTCGCAAGGAGGAATACATGACAAATCAGTACATTTTCTTGCCAGTAAAAACTTATCATATCATTTCAGCAAGGCTTGGAAGAAATTTTCAGCTTAGAAAACATCATTATTTTTCCTTATTATTGAATCTTCCAGTGTGTTCACGTTGTCGTTAATTCAAGGGATATCATTTAACACACCGATACCGTCATTATAGCTAATTACCGCGTTTGTTTCCAGTTTCCGCCGCATCAAAGCTGAACATTATAGCATAGCCTTTAGTGCTCTCTGTCGTATTTTCTGTAAAATATATTCTAATGGATATTACAGAGGATTGTTATTACGGATAATTTTTGAGTCATTGAAAGACAAGTATTTGTTATTTGAGTGTATTTAAATTATTACTGTATTGAATTCAAATGTTGTAAATATTTATTATTCATGTGAACGAAAACTTTGTATGGTAAAACAATTATTTATTATCTTTTATCTGAAATTCTATATGATGTTGTTTAACTTCATTATTGTGTGTTTTATTTGAATTATATGAATTGTTAACAAACAAAAAGTTTGAAATATTGGATTATTATTAATGATCACCATTCAACTGACATACTTGATCCTCTCTATATGCCAGTTTTGTAAAATTCAAATTAAATTGCTGTTAATTTCTATAACCGCTTAAAGGCCCATTATGCCCCAGAAATCCCTTGATTTTCATTCCTAAGCTTCTTATTTTGGTGTTCTGTAATAGTTTCAAAAAGGGTACACATTACAAGTCAAAATACAAGTGTTTTTTTTTTAATTTTGCTACCTTCATGGCAAATTATTTCACATTCAGCGCTACTTTTTCGGGAATTAAGCACTAAAAAACCCCTAAATCTAATATTTCCACGTTATCAAATTCATGTTGTCCTTTCTAAGAAAGTTTTCTTTTTTTCCGGTGCATAATATGCCTTTAATATTTACATTTCATATTTTCTCACTACACAATTGAAGAATTTATTGAATCTTAAGAAAATATATAACATATCATGACATTCTTTAAAATGGACTGTGTCTTTTAAAGAATTTTTTGTTCGAAGAAATTGTTAATCTGACATTTTAAAATTTGTAAATATTGTTTGACAATTAAAAAATTACTATTCTGTTTAATATTTAAAACGTAACGGAGAAACAGTTCTAATAAATTCATAATTTGATTTCTAAACAAGAAGGAAACAAATCATAAACATATTAAACATCTGTATAACGTAAATAGACAGATTTGATTGAAAAGTTTGTCATACATGTATAAACAAACACAGCATATATATGTATTTGCTTTATATTTTAGTATGATTTTTTTTATTTAATTGTTAAAATGATATTATTGACACTACTCGGTCTTTTCGAATAAAGTCTAGATTTAACAATGATTAAATAATTGAATCATTTCGTGAATGAAAATATGCTCATGACTATATGATAATCACAAGACAATGGAAGGAACATTGTAAACATTTATTGATTTAACTTGTATCATAAGATATTCATGTGTTCAAAGAAGCATTCGGTACATGATTGATTTTTATATTACCAAACTTTCTTATCATTTTTTATATAATATCTCTTCAAGAATTTGCTTTGCATGAGCAATGCGTTTTTATTATTAGTCAGACATGGCTATTCTGTCTATAAATACAAACAACAACAACAACAATAACAATAATAATAATAATAATAATAATCAATTCTAATATATGGATTAGATTGAAGGTAACCGGATAAGTGCCAATATTATGACAAATTATTTAATATACATGCTTTATTTTGAAAGCTTGTGACCTACAAATTGCATTAGCTCATGATTCTTTATCTTAATAAAATTCGTATTCGTATCTAGAGCAAGAAGAGTAAATGAACTTTAATTTGTCTACCATTGAAACTCTTGGCGGCCACATTCTTCCGGTTTGTGTTTAAATGATCGGCATATTGCATGATAAGTTCTACTGGATAGTTGAATAGTTAATGCATTTGAATTCAGACGAAATGTTAAGAAAATACATGAATTTCTCAATCACATTTCTAAAACATATCTTTTCATATGCAGCTTATAATAAGATATTATACATTTCAAAATTAATTCTTAGCACAAAACAATAATAATGCGCGAATTCAAATCAAAATCATTTAATAAAATAGCGCTGTTCAAATAAAATAAAATAAAATATATCAAAGCCTAAATGCGTTAATGTTTCAAAAACAGTGATGCTGGATTAAAATGTTTATTCAAATGTTATGTATTGCTGCGTCAAAGGGATTACTATATTTTGGTCTTGATATTTCAACTCATCCGAAAAAACGATTACATTATAATTACTTTTACTAGAAGTTTTATTTACTAGATAGATAGATAGATAAATAAATAAATAAATAACAATGATAAAAAAAATATCAAAACTAATGATAAAAACAACAAAAACCAAACAAACAAACTGAGTAACAAAACATTACAACCACGTCGTACATTTTAGTTATTCTTTACAAGATAAATACGTTGCTGCACTCGATGCTATTTATTAATTTGATTGGATAGAGTATAAAATTGCCTTAACAACATCTAAAAGTTAGATATAAATATATTCCAGCAATTATTAAATAAAATGATAATATTAAAGAAGTAACGACAAACTCCATATTTTCAATTATTTCGGTAGCGCTTTCAATGCTAGTTGTGCTTACATCAGCCGAGCATTTTAATCAACTTATTAGATATATATTTTAATATTGTGTTTTTTTTTCGTACAAAACTTTTTATTTCTAATGTTTACTTTACATTTCAGACACAACGATTCCAACAAAATATGATATCGTAAACCTAAAACACATTGAGCAAAATCAGATAGACGCGTGACCAAATATATTGTATAAATGAAACCCTATAATCCGCAAGAAGAAAGTTTCTTAGAAAAAGAGACAATGACGATTAAATCAAAGCTCAAGTCTTTGAAGGAAGAAGTACAGACGTTTTCATTTTGGAAAGCAGTGAGGTGTGAGTTTCTTATTTCTTTAATTTATGTTTTCATCGGCTGTGGTTCATGGACAGACTTGCAACGAATACAAGACTCCTATTTCAGAGTGGCAGTGACATTTGGCCTCGCACAGGCGACGCTTATGCAGTGTGTAGGACACATAAGTGGTGCTCAAATGAACCCTGCAATTACGCTGTCTATGTTAGCGACTGGTAAAATGGGCATTGCAAGATCAATATGTTACATACTTGCACAAGGTCTAGGGGCTATAGCGGGAGCAGGAATTCTGTACGGTTCAACACCCGGTAAATATCACGGTACCCTCGGGGTAATATCAATTCAACCGGACGTTCTACCCGGTCAGGCGTTTGCAGTGGAATTCATGGTGACATTTGTGCTAGTGTTCACGTACTTTGCTAATCTAGAACCAAAACGAGTTGATATGGGGTCAAGGTCTTTATCAGTCGGACTATCGGTGGTTCTTGGACATCTTTTTGCGGTATGTTTGATTCATCTTTGAATAAATGGATACGCGACTAAAATATGCCTTAGGACAAACAATGTATACAACTGAAATAGAAAACATATACATAAAAGAACAATGAATTTGATTTAAGACTGCAACATATTCTTCTCTTTGAACAATCTCAAATATCCTTTGATAAATGACAGCATCTAATCATCGTCCAAAAATTTGTCTCCGAAATAACGAAATGGTAACTTCATTACAAATGGCTGCTGGCTAATCCAGACACAAAATAAGATAATGATGTCCCCTGGTAAATAACGAAATGAAGTTAGGTCTTTTTGTATTTTCGTTGAGAAAATAATGATACCTTTCCAGGGAATATTGCGTGATATAATTGTCACTAAAATAGACGAAAACTTATTAAAACATACCTCCTAGAGAATACAGAATATTCGATTATTATTAATTTGTTAAGTGATCCTTTTCATCTTTCTTAGTTATGGGGACTCTACGAAGGTTTTTGACATGACATGACTGGAGATTTTTTCCTAGATTGTAAAGTATTTGGTAAAGATTTGAACCAATAACTTGTGTGAAAATTTTCAGCTCATTTCCACAACCTGTTTTTTCAGTATATCCATTTTTATTTGTAAAAGGACCCACAAAATGAAAAGCATTGCAACGTTTTTACTCAAATTGGGTAATAATCGCAAAGAAAATTGTTATTCAATTCAATTCCGAATATATTTATCTTTTTCATTTTCTTTTGGCTGAGTTTTCCAATTTAAGCGCTTCACTTGATTTACGAAAAATTACATGTTTTAGTCTTGATTGCGTTCATTTGTGTTACAAATTCAAGATAGAAATTGTACGTGTGTTAATACATAACATAAGTAAAGAGACCAAGAAAATAATAGAAATATTTGAGAGATAAGTTTCTCATCTTAACCTAAGAAAATATTGTAAATGATATATGTCATTTACGTATATTTTAACATTTGTAGATAAAAAGAAAATCCTACAAATTAGGCTGCATATACGGAAAAATGATAAATATAGCTTGATTTTCAAAAGAAAATCGGAAAACATCAATCATTTGAAATATGATTATTTTTAGTAATTGTATGGCTTGCGTTTAAGAAAGAGATTTGAAAAAAAGTGTTCATGATTTAATGTTTATTTTTATACAACTTTTTTTTTGCCGAAGAACTTTTCTTGTTCTTTTAGTTTTTAATGTTTTCATTTTACAGATTAATATCACACGTTAACAAAATAAAACAGCTTGTTCAAAATAAGACTGCTATAAATGTACACTCACGGCGCCTTGCAGCTCCATCAATGTGTTCCTATTTTGATTCTGACAAAAGAGAATGCGTGAATAATGGCCATATTTATTCTGTTACATAATGAACTTCACAAAAGATTGCAGACTATCTATTCTCATTTATGTATTCTAAGATGGTATATCAATAACAACCGGGATTTTCAATTTAGGGAAAACGCCAAAAGACTGCGCAATCTAAATATGTCTGTATTGTGTAGACACTTAATGGCTCTAATTTCTAAGACATTGACAAGTTCTTTGATGACCTTGTCTACAGTCAATAACTGATAATAATTAACTTATTGTCAGAAAATATTATCAATTTTACTTTTAACTTAAACTGTTGGAACTTTTGTTTATTATTTTGATTCCAACATTAATCAAGAAGCTATCTTGCAGTAGAATAAAGAAGAAAGAATACAATGTAAAATAATGGACATAAATATTTTCATTCAGTTATATCAATGACTATATATCAAAATATTTTTAACATCTTTTCGTTTATTTATTAAAAAGAAAACACGACTACTTTGCTTTCAGCTTGACTACACTGGGTGTGGAATGAATCCAGCACGATTATTTGGCCCAGCAGTTGTTACTAACCAATGGAAAGATCATTGGGTAGGCAAACATCATCATTTTCAAGTTGTTTTTCTATTTGGATTTTGCAATCGTATACTTTAAGATATTTGAGCAATTTTAAATTATATAATAATAATAATAATTCCTTTTTCTTTTTGTTTTGTAAACTGATCGTGAGGTTTATTGGAGTGTTTCCGATTGCAAATATTTCATTTTTAACTTAAGGATATACTTTCCTCGTCTTTAAGTAAACTATTTTTACTGCAAAAGTTTATAGAAATCTATGAAATTCATTCTGAATATATATTATTTGAATAAAAGAACATACAAACTATGTATGGAAATCTGCTTTTGCTATTATGGATCAAGTGAAGTTAGTCCTTTCTTTAAAAAAATGTCAGTCTTTTTAATGACACTATATATTCAAAGTGCGTCCAAATTTAATAGTGTATAGAATTTAAAATATCATATATATTTATATTACAAAATGACCGTGCAGCAAATATCAATATTTTAAAATATCAAATTTGAGCACAGTATATCTTTAAAAAATGTCGTGCATTTTCAAGTTTCAGACAATTATTACATGACTTGGATAACACAACTATATAAAATAAGTTTTATTTATTGTATGCCTTTTTGTTTTTCCTTTGTCGGTTCTATGTAGTTGATTTAATGTAAAAATCATATTTTCAGGTGTATTGGGTTGGGCCTATAATCGGGGGAATATTTGGTGGTTTCACCTACGAATATACACAATGCTCCTCGGAGGACATACAACGCTTTAGAGGTTCTTTCCGACGGAAAAAGATACAGTTCGTCGTAGAGACAGATCAACGATGCGACAGCCCGGTTACGACGGAGTTTTCATTTACCCCAAGAACTTCGTCGAACGAAGATCTCAAATTATAAACTTCTTTTTTATCGTTGTTGACACTTTGAACTAATCATTTGTGATAAAGCTTTTCTGTTAATCATCTATTTATTGATTGTTGACCATTTTTGTATTTTTTTTTGACATAAGCTTCATAAGCAATCATTTTATAAGAGCATAGCCATTTTGTCATGTTATAGAATAAATAACTTAATTTTAAGTTGTGTTTAGAATATAGCAGCAAAGTTATGTGTGAATATAAAAATTTCAGATAGCATGCAGTATGATATATATTACGTTTTGATTGCACTTGTTTTATTATATTCTACTTGACCAGGTAATGTTAAAACTGAAATGTTATCAGATCTCTTTCAAAATTTTATTTTATTAAGTTCTGCCCATTTTTTTCTCGTTTAGGACACATACACTATTTAACTGGGGACCATACGCCGTTTTTAATGGAATGGCATTAACGTGTCACATGAATACCGCCGTATGAACACATCAGCGGATGTTTCTTAATTCAAAATTTCACCATTACCATGATTAAATGTTGAATTCTGCTTAAGACGGTGCCAGGGGGCTTGAACGGTAACTTGAATTTTCCAGTACCGTCCATGAACAGGCTCAATCAAATCGAGTCTGCAACATTTAATTTTGTCGTTTTTTCGGTGTTCTTTAAGCACTCCGTTTTTCTCATTTTTTTATATTGATCTATCTAATTTTTTTTTTCGAAATGGGAGGCTTTTGACAGCAACGAAAACGACATAAATACATTGACGCTGAAATCAGAGACTTTTGAATACCAACCCCCCCCCCCCCTGGCCCGTAGCACATACTTAAGCGGTGGCGTCTACAATTTAAGTTTGTTTTGTAAAATTTTGTATATATATGATACGATGATACGTATTAAGAAATAAGGTGATTCATTGAAATGATAAACGCTTTAGTTACGAACAAAAGCATATTGTCTTTATAATTGTCTAAAAGCACTTTATATATAACACTTTTATTAAGTAGTTAGGTACTTTACACGAACGTTTTTGTTAATACTTCATTGTGATTGATAATAAATATTTTACAGACAATGAATTGAATATTTATTCACTTACTTTGATTACTTAAAATTTTGATTTGTATTTTGAAATATGTTTGGAATTGAAAGCATTGTGTCGAAAGTTTACTTTCTTTAATGTGCTTAAAGTCCCCATTTTCAAACGGTGTGTATGAAAACAGTTGGAATAAATATAATGTGAGTGAATTTTTTTAAATGCGTATTTATTTGTATTGACATTCGTTTAAAGTTGTGTCAGATAGATAATTGTGTTCATACTTTCTTTTCTTTCGCTGCAGATTAGCGCTTCTTTAGAAATCACATTACGGTCTACATTTTTTTAAAGAAGTAACTTATTAGCAGATAACTATTTCACCTCTGATACTATCTTGTGTGACAAATTGTAATTGGTTTAGATTGCCTGTGCTAACTTACAACAGCGCAGACAAAAGTTAATAGTTTCGGGCCATTATTACCAGGCAGAAAAGATTGACAGTCTTTTTATTTGTGATTAAAATTTTAATTGGACGCACTTAATCACTGCCTCGTCTCTACATATTGATCTATATAGTTTTTATAGTGAAGGAACATTAGTTTGTATCAAGTACCCGAACAGAATGCCATAACAAACAGAAACGTCAACTACAAACAATTTTAGGGTTATTCATGTTTACCATTTTCAAATTATCTGCGATTTAAATGATTCAAGAGATCCCACCAGAAATAACTTAATAAAAATGTATACCATTTGATGCAGGTATCGACCAATAACATGTGTGCCAATTTTCATCTTATTCGCATACTCCGTTTCATCAGAATAATCCAAATTGTGCAAAATAAGCTATAAATGAAAAACACTTTAACGTTGTTTTTTTTTATCAAATTGGAATAAATTCGCATAAAAATAGTTTTCTGTGTGATTTTGAAAACATTTCTCCATTTTTTAAAAAAAATTTAAATGAACTTTTTGATCCCGATAAAATTTCAAATTTGTTTTTACATTTTTTATTGTTCTTTTAACTTGTTTGTTACTAGTGAGAAATCATAGTATACATGATTAACATGTTTATATAAGCATGCATTTCTTAAAGTCCTATCATAAAATTGTATTATTTGTGAAATATATCCTTCTTTTGGATAACATTACTCATAAAATGTGACAGACTGAATTGCGGTAAAAGAGGAAATCGGTTTATCTCAAAGCAATTTAGTCTGTATGATTTATCGATAAGTTCATCCTATTGCGGTAAATGCACTCTGTATGACCTTGACATTTTTATTCATTTTCTAAACATGAATTGTGTTTTAATTGCAATTTGATACAAAGGGAGGGCATTGTATCTTATTTGTTCTCGGAGAATAAAGTTTATTTCAGCGGTTTCGTTTATAACACGGTTTGAATCAGTCAAAATAAAAATTGCACACAAGTGCTGGTTTTATTTTATCAAAATAATCAACAAAAGTTGTAGTACTTTCAAACCATTTTATACTTGATTTGGAAGTGATCGTTAGATTAAAAAAGATAGATTATAATAGTGTTTATTTAAGAACGATGGAATATCAAATATATGAACAATGTCACTAATTTGTGATTTTTATCATTTTTTATCTTTTTTTATCTTTCAAATTGCCCCAGATAAAAATGCATGATTGTGAATAGAAAATCATTCTTGATGCAACATGTCTTTATTTCTAAGTACACGTAATTTAAAACAATTGCTTAAATGCTTTCGAACTTGACTCATAACAAGCATTGATTCAACTTCCATATTCTGTCTGCGTGAACATGTTGCCAACAATAACGACTACCGAAGTGTAATTTCAATAATAAATCATGACAAAATGTCTATATTTATTCAGTAATGTATTTTTGATATGTTCATCAATTATTTCTTGGATGCTGTAATGTAATGCAACACCAAATGGACTATAACTGACGTTTAAATTTTGTTCAGACACTTCATGACACAAATTGACGTCTAGTAGTGACGTTTAGACTCGCAGACATTTTATTTAACACTCTCGTTTGAAGCTTATCAAAAACCACTTCTCAGTTGAAATAGAATGTATCGGTTGTATCTTAAAATAAGAACATAAGCATTTCATGGTCTATTTTTGATACATATTTAATTCTCAAAATAAAAACACAGTCTATAACTCTCTCATTTATAATAATATTAATAATAATAATAATAATAATAATAATAATGATAAAAATAATAATAATAATAATAATAGTAACAATAATAGTAGTGATAATAATAGTCTTAATGAGTTAATGCTAATATATAAGCATTTCAATAAAAAAATGTTTATACGGAAAGCTGTATTATCAATTTTGTTAACAACATCCTGATTTATGCCTATCTTACAATAAAATAAATTGAACTCTGGTCAACAAATGTTCATTATAATAAAAGTAATCAATTAACAAGTTCAAAATGTTCAAGAACATGTTCAAATTCGGTGATTTTTGAGATCATTGAACTAGTTCAAAGGACATTGTCATGCCTTGATGACAACATAAGCAATATATTTATTACTTTAATTAATCACTATAAGGAAATGTAATGATTACATATGGTTTTTTTATACGATACAACTAATGTAATATAAACGAGCTCCGAAGATTGGTTTCCTTGAATAAACATAAATGATTTCATAATATGATTTTTTGAAATGTTTGTAATCATTAAGATAGGACCGCATGTCGAACTTCTGTAAATATTACTTTAACATATTTAAATAACGATCTTGAAGAAATATCAACATGCACATAACCTGAAATGATATGATAACAACATTTTTCAATGTCTCTGATTTTAGCTAATATTTACTTCGTAATTATTTCTTGCTCATATCATACATTGATTATTTTGTCTAATAAAGACACTGAGTAATGCAAATGTTTCATTCTTCGTTCGTACATTAATCCTGAAAAAATAAAACACTTTAGATATAGCATGTGTGTAAATAAAGAAGGTTTTTGTTAAAAAATATTAACCGTTTTAGGTAAAGCAGATGCGTAAATAAAGTAGGTTTTGATGTAAAAAAATAAATCATTTTAGATATAACTGATGTGCAAATAAAGTAGGTTTGGTGCCAAAAGTAAAACATTTTAGAAATAGCAGATGTGTAAATTAAGTAGGTTGTGATGACATGGAACTTAAAGTACATTACAACACTCATTAGCATTTATATCGTGGTAGAAAGAAAAACTTTGAGGAATACATTCAGCAGAAATAAACTTATAAAAAACAAACCCCCACCAAAAAAAAAAAAAAAAAAAAAAACACACACACAAAAAAAAAAAAAAAAAAAAAAAAAAAAAAAAAAAAAAAAAACAAAAAAAACAACAAAACAAGTAGCACTTTAAAAAAAGAAAGAAAAAGAAAACACAACAGGACATGAAATATGTTTAAAAGGTAAAATAGCTTCTCCCTTTTTGGAATGTATTTTGTCCTTTGTTCGACAGATAATCCAAATAATATATGTAATATAGAATTTCAAGAAAAGTTTTTGCTTTTTCCTACAAAGGCATCTTTATGGATTTTCAAACATCAGCGGCAATGAAAATATGTAAACTTATTCACCTGAGTGATAAATGAACTTCACATACACTCAGTGATAAAATGTTCCATATAACTTTTACCTTTCCAATCCATTACATAAAGTTATTAATATGTAGGAATAGTTTGAATAGTTGTATCTATGGCAATTTTGAATATTTATTTTGCAGTATTAGGTTTGGATAGTTTCAAATGAAAAACATTTCAAAAAATCCATGATCACGTCCATGGAAGTCAAAGAAATTAATATATTTGGTCCTTAAATATTATAGAGTAAAATCGCAATCATCCCAACTTTTATTAACATATCAACACTTCGTATCAGAAATTCTATTCTTTCTTTCTAATGGAAAAAGAAATCGTGTCCCATACTTCAGATTTTACATAAATATGTAGCCGTGATTAAGAGAATAAATGAATAAAAGTCAATGTAAATGTAAAAGCACCGTTCAAGTACGTTACCTAATTAGGGTGACAACAAAAAC